CAAGACTTTTCATTACTAAAATAAGAATTAGAGTGAGTTATCGGAGTATTGACCATCTTTGCTTTTTAAAATCTTATAAAAGTTTGCAATATTTTGTATTATATTTTATTTAAAAAACGAAAATTACCTTCTAAATTAGAAGTTCATTTTTTTAATTTTTAACTCAATTCAAAACATTTTTTTTGTTGTTGTTGTATGCAGTTTCCAGCAAACTTTAATTAATTTTTTTCTATTTGTGAAAATTTCTACGTTATTTAAAGGTAATTTTTATTATAGGCCTAAAGACCTTACACAGCATTATTAATATGATTTTGGAGGTTACAGAACTTTAAAATTACTTTAAAAAATGGAAAATAATTACTGTATATCATTTGATTTCAAGATATTTTGTATACCTTAAAAATAATTAATTCTATCCCGGGATTTCCCGGGATCCCGGGAAACAGTTCACTTTTATCCCGGGATCCCGGGACAAGCAAAAGACCGGGAAATGAGAAACCCTAGTAAATAATCATTTAAATTGTGTAATCTGGTAGATTTCCCCAACTGAATAATTTTATTCATCAATAATCTGGCATGTATTTTCCTATTGATATAGTGAATTTGAAATAAAATGGCAGGCCATTATATATATATATATATATATATGCATCCTGCCAATTTCTGTGCATTAAATACATATTCTCTATTTCTTATTATTTCTTAATTAATAAATTTTTTAATTTAAAAGGTAAGCAATTTTTGAAGAAATAGAGAATATGTATTTAATGCACATAAATTTTTGATTTTTTTATGCCTTAATAATTTGAGTTGGTGATTAGCAGAGGCAAACTTACATGCACAGTAACCACTGTGCATCCTGCCATTAGCACTCCAACATTATTCACTTCATTTTCAATGGTACTATGACAGAGAAGCGTGGATTGCTACAATTGGAAGCATATTGTCTTTAGTGAATCCCAATTTTGTTTGAGAATAGGTGATCACTGTATTAGTGTGGAGGTCCACTGGTGAGCACATCATTCTTTCCTTTACTGTTAAGAGATACACTGTCCTTTTTTCTGGAATGCTGGTTTGGTGAGGTATTGCATATAATTGTTATTGCTATGATATGAGGAACATTGTAGTAGTGTCATAGTAGTGATATGAGGAACATTGATGACACATGCAGCATGTTCAGTCATGTGCTTTTCTTTGTTGTCTTTCATGGCAAGGCTACAAACAACCATTTTCCATAAAAGTAATGCTTGTTTATATATAACTAGGGTTTTTCAGGAATATTTTTCTTACCTTAATCATGTCATACTCTTTTGGCTTACCTAGTTTCCAGATATGTCATCCAGTGAGCATTTGTGGACCAGATGGAATGCCAGATTCAACTATCTACAAGTATGAGGAATCTATGTTGGCACTTACAGCATCTGTTGGCAAACTTGTTGCAGGATAGCATCACAATGCTTGTATGTCTCCCCTTCATGCCTGACCATATTGTCACACATATATCTAGGCAAGAGGAGATGCTAAAGGTTCTGTAAATTGTATTATTTCACAAAAAATTGTCTCTTTGCCATGATATTGTAATCACTTACTACCATTGTCATTACATTTTCACTAATAAAATTTCATTCAGTTCCAATACCTCCTTCTTGGTGCATAACTTTTTTGTCAATGAATGGTATAGATCAAAATAATTACAGATAATTTAATAAATTAAAGATATACAGTTCTTGATGTCAATAATTTGTGAGTTTTGATATATCATAAAATAAGTTTTATTCAAAGTTTTTTTTTACACTGTTCAAATTTAATTTATACTGGTAATATATTTCAGTAACTTATCGTTAAAAGTTTCCATTTCTTTAGTAATTTCTTTGCGTTATATAAAAATATAATTATATATTATATATCTTATATTAAATTACTATTTTTAGATTTAGTTATACTTACAGGATAGAGAAAGAAAAACAGATTTATCACATTATATTATAAATACATGATAAATAATATAATTTATTATTTTGTAAGATATTGAATTATTATTATTATTAGTTTTTATGCAAAATTCGAGTTGGAGTAAAAGCCAATTTTTATCTATTCTGAGTTTCTGTAGCTAAAGTCATCACTAAACATAATGTACTTTTATGTTTATCACATTAACATCCTAGACAAATTAATTTGCATCATTTTTATGTACATAAGTAAAAAATAACATAATAACATTCTAAATAAATGAACTGCAAAGTTTTTTGTTCTCCAAAAGTTGACTTTTTTGACTTATGCTCTTTTAACTTTTGACCATCTAATTATCATCAGATAATTTCTAGCATTAATTTTCATTTTATAATATTTGTTTTTGTAAATTAGTTATTTGAATTTATTTTTAATCTAATAATTATTTTTTCAGATACAATGGTGGTCCAATCTTTTTGATTTATATACAGAAATGAATTTTCATAGAAAAGCAGCATTTTACAAGCATACTTCAGCAGTATGTTGTGTTTCACCTCATACAACAACTCCTGATTGGAATCAGGTATGAACACATCAAATTTTTATTAATTGATTTATAGTCTTTATAACTTATCAATACATCATCTGTTGTATATTATTTAGAAGATTAATGATATGTAAGTAGTTATTATTCAGTACTTGTAAAGAACTGGACTCTTTTTGGAGTATTCTTTACTTGTTACTCTCAGAATCTGGATATAATGAGATAAATAACAAATAAATGATTATTTTTTTAGTGCTACATATGCTATTTGATCATATAACTTAATACTTCAAAGAAAAATAAGAATTTAAAATAACATTTTAAATTTTTATGTAGTGTTAATGTTATATTAAAATTTTAAAAGCTATAAAAAGCTATTTTATATATTAATATAAAGTTAATTTTATTTTTAGCAATATTTTGGTTAACTGTGAATAAAACACAAACAATTATATATACAAATTCTGATAGATTATATCTAATGTTTCTGAATAAAAACTTGTTTTTGTTCCTGAATTCAACACTGTTTTTTCCTAATAATTTTGATTATGGTGCCAAGTATGAATATTTTTTCTGTTTATCTTTCATTATTGATTAATAATATAAAATCATTAAATAAGTTGTTTGTAATTTACAATAGCATAAAAATGTATTATGTTAGATTAAAAATGACTTAATACATTTTAAAATCAGTAAATGTTAGATTAAAAATGACTTTTACTGATTTTATTTCATGAATTAACTTTTTAATATTTACCAAAAACAATACAAGTAATCATACTGGCTTGCTGTTCCAAATTCTTTTTAATGTATATTTATTTATCATTGTTTTGATGAAGTAAAAGATATTACATATTGTAAATAATTCAAAAGCTAAGCTTATAATATTAAAATAACCTAATAAACCTAATAAAGTATATTAATACTTTATTATGTTACTTATTAATACATTTATTAGTTGTAAAGATTTTTACAAATTGCAATATGTAAAAAGCATTCCATCAAAATTACTATTTGTAAATTCTTTACAATAGAGAAAAGTATATATTTTGTGAGTGAGTTTATTAAATAATGTTACGTTATATTACATATTACGTATATCATAATATTACGTTATACTGTACATAATTTATAGCATTATACATAATATATAATATAATTTTATAAAAAACACTACAGAATTATTTTCATCATAGTAAAATTTATATATGCTTCCTGCCTAAATCTGATGGTGCTATAGTAAAGTGCCCTCTTGCAGTAGAAATTTGAAAAATGTAGTTACAAATATGTACTTACATAGGTTCATTAATATAGTTTTAAGAAATAATTTTTTTTCCTATCACTTTTGAGGATGATTTTTTGTAGAAAATCCATTAGAGCAGGGAAAAATTAAAATAAACAGGCCATTTTCATAATGTTATTCAAAATATTCAAAAATACACAGCTTTTGGTAAATATATTCTGCAAATGCACATACATAAATCTAGCTAACAAATTCTAGTATAAGTTGTCCAAAGGAAAGTTAATAATCTATATTACATCTCTTTTGATCATTTTTTAATTAAAATTTAATTTTATAAAAATGTATGTTTCATGTTTAAAATAAAAATATTAATCCAAAAATTTTTTAAATCTCTTCAATGTTTATTGCAAAAGAAGAAAGTACATGCAAGATTTGCTGTCATCAACATAGGACATAAAGGAATTGATAAAAGAATCAGCATAAACATATTAACTCAATCGCCATATATTATTTTTTCAGCTTAATGACCAATGGAAAATGATTAATGCCTTCTTTACTTTTTATTAGTAAATACCGTTTTATTAGATTAATAGTAAATACTGTTTTAATGAATAATTTATTATTTATTAGATACTGTTTTATTCAGTATCAAGAAGTCCATGCAGAGCTGGAATTCTTGATACTTTTTTATTAGTAAAGAAGAAAAAAATAGAACCAAAAACAAGTTAGCACAAGCTTGGAATAAATCAGCAACTTTAAAAAAAAGAAGAATACAAACAAACAATAAGACTTAGCCATATTTTTTGGAACAAGAAAAAGATATAGGAAAACAAACCAACACATATCTCTAGCTGATCCAAACATAATATACTGATAGAAAACTCAACAGATATTATCTGCTCAATGAAGAGTACAGTGCCCAGAAATGTCATGGCTATGCTGTTCTTCAGATGGCATTATCAGAGACAGTGACAGACATTATTGTTTATTGGAAATAAAATATCCATCAAAAATTAGGAATGATTTTATAATGAATGAATATAGACAAATAAAAGTAAAGCCTCCATACAGCATTAATCTATACCTTTCTTCTAACTAGGTCTTTTTTCGTAAGGAAAAAAAAAAAAAATACTATCCATATTATTACTGTAAGAAGGATTACATCATACCATGCTACAAATATTTTGTTTCTTTATTTCAGAGGAAAAATTTGTCAAATTTGTTATATTAGCTCAGTCATAACTCTGTTGTTTGTAACTACAAAGTTCACTATTTTACCACAAGAGATCTCCATCAGTAGTGCAAAACATATAGGCATGGAGCTTATTGAATAATAATGAAAATTTTCTATCTGATTTGAATTTATATAATGACAGTTTTAATTCAATAATATTAATCTAAATATATAAAATTACTTGTCCTGATTGACTGAGTGATTGACTGTTTCATCATTGCCCAGAGCAAAACGCTGACCCTAAAGAGGTGAAATTTGGTACACAGTTAGGGTACGTCATGAAAATGTACACTAAGAAGGGATTTTTGGAAATTCTCCCCGCGGGGGGAGAGGGAGAGGATTAAGGCTTAACCTGAAGAACGGCTTCTACTGTACTATTTTAGATGGAATTTTTTGTTTTCAACTATGTTTAGTCTTCATTGAGTACTTAGGTGTATTAAATTGATAACATTTCAGACATTGTTATAAATATTTTTATATATTTTGATTTTTTAACCAAATGTTTGAACTGTTTTAAATTCAAATTTGTTATTGCATATTGGTTCGATTATAGAATGATTGTAAATGTTCCAGAAAATTGATCAAATTGAAAATAGTTTATTTGATTCTCAGCAATTCTCATCATTCTCAGCAGTAGGTGTTATATAACAATTACTATGGTCGTTGAAATACTGAATATAAATGGGGTTTGCTTGCAAAATCCATGTGGGTGAAGACGCAGGTAACAGCTAGTTCAATATATATTGAATTAATATATATATATATATGTACTGTACACAAATACATATATTATCAACATTTATTTAAATTAATTATTTTTTAATTAATAAATTGTAAATTTTAAATATATATTACAACTTATAACTATGATTTTTGTTTTGTTCTTGGATCCGTAATAATTTTTAGTTTGCATAACATAATAATTCATAAATATGTTACCTGGTGTATTTAATTTAATTGCAGCTGTTTCAAACTTAAATTTTTGATTAGTTAGCTGAAACTGCTTGAATTTAGACGAAAAATATTTTGAAGAAATCCTTAATTTTGGTTTTCTTGACAAGCAGTTTGAGTATTTTTAATTTATTTAAAAATTTAAATTATTTATTAATTGCTTTAAATTATAATCTTTTTGATATTTATTTGATATCTATGAGATTTATTGAAGAACATTATATGATGTGTATTATTGAATTTTCAATTATTTATTTATCTTTGTTTTTTTAAATAAAGACAAATAAAAATAAATAATTAAAATTATTTTGTTATTAAATTATTAAACATTTTTATAGTTAATAAAATTTGACAAATTTAATAAGGTATATTAAAAAGTCTTCATTATAACTTTTTAGTGTTGTGAATTTTTGCTTCAAACCAATCAAGGATATAAAATTGTTTATGAAGCAGATAATCAGTTATGTAAGTTTAATCTTGATCTTTTTTATTTGATATTATTATTAAAATATAACTTTTTAACTAAAATGTTTTAAAAAATTATAAAATTAATTATTCGTGGAAAAAGCTTAAATTATAACTTCACTTTTTTTCTTTTTTATTGATTTGATAAATCAACGAAGTTATAAATTAATTTGAACTTTTTATTCAAATACAAATATATTATTTTACAAAATGCCTTTAAAAATGTTTAGATTATATTATTAAAATATACTTAAATATTTTAAAAGGTTAGGAATATTTTACTGCTTAATTATAATTTTAAAAATATTTTAATTAAAACTAAAAAGTATTAATTTATACTTTTAAATATCTGTCATATGATTAATGTTTTCTAATAATTGAGAAGTAACAAATATGAAATTGATTATTGACAGTTTTAAATAATAAATAAATTAAAATGAAGATTGCTTTATCCTAATTTTATAAATAAATGCTTGTGTGTGTGTGTGTCAGACTCAGAACTGGATAATGATCATAGGATGTCACAATAAAATCTCACCAAAACAGAAGTAGTCTTCAAAATTTTTTCAAAAAGTCTTCAAATATTTTTGGCCTACAGTGAATGCCTTCTTCAGGAAATCAAAGAGTTCAAAAGTGGAATGCTTGGAATGCACATTTCAAATTTGGTCATATGGAATTTGATGTTTGGATTACATCATCTGAATTAAGAGCACCCATTGAATGCATGTTGGTTTCATAGTGTTGCATTATATCATGCTTGCCATGCCCTGGAAACAGACTTTTCCTTTTTGTAATTGATGCAATTGATTTTCATACTGGCCTTAAAAATTTTCAGGGCTTTTATTTCATTAATGTAGTATGTTGGTATGGTCATCCTTAAAAGAGTGTCTTGTTGAACATGGGAACAACATCTTCATGTAAGTTGTATAGCCTGAGATTTACGAGTTTCTTCTGCATGATAACAGATGGAATAGAGACTTAACCTTTTCTCTGTCACTTGATGATATTTTGTCACCTTAGTTTGTCTGTTTTGCTGTTTCATTATACTTTTGTTTACTGTTATATTGGTAAATTCTACATATATATTTATTATTTATATAATTTATGGTATTTTTTATAAATAAATAAAATGATACAATAAATCATATAAATAATAAAATTTATACCGTATTTACTTGCATATAACATGAGGTTTTTATTCCTTTATCACAGCTTCAAATTCCTAGGTTGTGCACAAGTGAAAGATTCTTTGCGTTTTTGCAAATAATTTTTGTGAACCATGTATTCACATTTTTTACTCTTTTGTATTTAAAAACATAAGTATTTTATCTGGATCGTTTGAATTGTTCTTGTATATTGTCGGGAGTAAAGATGAATAGCAATAGGAAAAGCAAAGCTTTTGAATTGAATTCCAGTTTGAAATTCCAAAATAACACGGGAGCATGATATAAGTTTTAATCCATTCTCACATGAAAATGGATAATTATTCAGAAATCAGAATTCAGAGAAACTCGTAAGTATAATCGATGGAGAATTGATTTGACTGTTAAGAATTAGCAAAAAAGAAAAAAAAAAAAAGGTTCTTGATTGTCCAGCTTTACGTGAACAAATTATGTTGTCGATTTTACAGGATTTTTCTTTAAAGTGTAAAATGCCTGTAATTTTTGCGGGACAATGTGCGCATTTACGTTCATTTGATATTTTACTTGTAATTAAACAAAATAAAATTAGAATTGTATTAATAAATTTAATTTTCTTTATTTTGATCTTTAAAGTCACACCTCATTCTATATGCGAGTAAATACGGTATATAGTTTTATTGGTAAACAATAAACAAAACTATAATAAAACAACAAAGTAATGGAAAGTAAAGTAAGAAAAAACAAAACATTACATGTGTTTTTCTTTGTTTAAAAATTTATAACTGAATATAATTGAGCAGTTTGACCATTGAGGTTTATTGAGGCATCGTTGATGCCATCAAAATATCTTAGTATGTTCTTGTTTGTTTTTTTAAATATATTTTGTCTCTTCTCTTATTTGAATTCTTTTTCAATAAATTATTTTCTTTATATTTACATGCAGATTTGAATTTTAGAATCCAAAATTCTTCCACATATATAAGCTTAAATGTGATATTGAAGTTAAATAATATATATTAATATAATATTTATTTACTATAATCTACATTCATTGATAATTATCATTTATTAGTATTATTACTATACATTTTATTATTAATTTATAAAATTTATGTTTCTTTCAATTCAATAAAATGTTTTTGTTTCAAAGGCAATAAGAGGGGTTGGCCTAGTCTGCAAATTAAAATTTTGCAGGAAACTATTGGTGCTGCCACAAAAACAGGAAATATACTTCTTGCCATCAGGTAAAGTTTAAGAATGAAGTACAGTACAACCTCCATTATTTGGACCTCCATTATCCGGATTTTCGATTATCCGGATTGTTCAAAATAAACAAAAATCTTACGAATTTGCTGATTTGCACTTGGCGAATTACGACACTGTTTACGCACATGATGGAATGCATAACTTTTTTTCTTTCAACGACATCTCACCCAGCACAGTGGTCGTAAACTCTTAAATATATTTTACGTAGTAATAAAAATATAACTTGACATAAGCATTTATAAANAGGTTAATTAAAATAATTTTTTACTGGATGTATATATTTTATTTTATTTCTTTATTTTGTTTTAATTATCTTGTATAATTTTTGCAATTATTTAAGCTTGGTAAACGTTAACGTATATTTATGTAACCACTTTTTGAATTTTTGTTTTACAAAATTTCGAATTCTTCGTTCGATTCAGAATGATAACTGAGGATAATCGCTTAATACGTTCAAAAGCGTTTTTAAGATATTAAAAAACGATTTGCTGGATTGTTTAAAGGTTTTGATTTTTATTTATAGTGTAGTTCCAGCACGAAAGTATTTTATTTTATTTGTTATATCAATGTTTTAGCCCATGAATTTATTTTATATTAAATTAAATAGCAAGAGATAATAATGCAGATGATTTTTTTATTTTAATGCTAATATTTGTATTCCTGATGTAAATTTTTATCAAGATATAAGCATGCATGGATAATCAAGAGTATGCTGTAGTTCAGTGTTTTTCAACCTTTGGGTCGCAACCCCCAGGGGGGTCACAAAGCCTTACGCGGGGGGTCGCGGGTAAAAGAAAAAGACAAGTGTTTGTAGGTCCTACACTACAATAAAGAAAACTACAATTTCAGTGAGAAGGCTGTATCTGTTTATTTTACAGTACAATTGGTTTTTCAATTGATATTTAGGTCTCAACAGAAAGAAAATTAAATACGTAGTTTTTAAAATCACTGATATAATTTTAATATGGCCCTGGGGGTCGCCAGAATTTTTTAACTTGTAAAGGGGTCGCGTATTCAAGAAGGTTGAAAAACACTGATCTAAATAAAATTAAGATTATAAATAATCCATATGGAAAAATTGAAAATTAGAAATAATTTTTTAACTATGTATTGCTATGCATTGACTAAAATTTTTTAATTGAAGAGAATATTTGTTTTCTGAAACCGTGTTTTAGTATTTATTGACTGTTGAACACAAGATTGTGTTATTAATTAAACACTTGACTTTTTTCCATCTTTATTCAGTTGATTCTTGATGAAATTTGCCGTTTTTATAACCAATAACTTGTAGTTGATTTGTTTCAGAAAATAAATCAACTACAAGTTATTGGTTATAGAAACAGCAAATTCCATCGAGAATGTAAAGTAACATCTTACATAAGGGATGTTGTGGCATGATTTCATGTATTGTTTCCCAACTGGCCCTGTCTCTAACTTACTACAATCTTAAGAATGGTAGCTAAATTTGATGCATGAATGGCTTGGATCACGCATTAAAGATTACAAGGCTCAGTTGTTTATTGGACAATGTTGTTATGAACATCATAGCCACATTCACAGTAAACCCAACTACTGCCATTTGCTATGTGGCTTTAGAGGCAGGAATTGGATCACCCTCTGTGCATACAATTGTTAAGAGATCCTGTTATCATCTGTACAAGTCCCAATGTCATCAAGAACTTCTTCTTCAAGACTACAATACAAGGATAAACTTTACAGAAATGTTTATAGATCTTGGTAACACAGACTCTACTGTTCCCAAATGAATTTGCTTCATGGATGAAGCATTTTTTATGTTTGCAGTGAGGTAAATTCAACTGCATATACTTGTACAAAAGAAAAATTTGCAATAATTCTTTTTCTTACTGTACAGTCGACCCCCCCCCTATAACGCAGTAGATACGTTCCACTTTATAAGAATTTCATGTTGTAGGAATCCTTAAATACATGAGCCAATCACAGCCCGGCATGTGTTCAGTTTATGGACTAAGGCTGTTTGAAAGGTTTTTTTCTATAAAATTAATCAATTCTAGACTAATTTGACTCAACATTTCCAAAACACGTATAATTTTTTGGGAATAATTTGTATAAAGTATGCTATAAACAAAAAATTGTAGGATTACTTACCAAGTGTGCACCATTCGACAACGGCATTGCTTAAGCTTGTTTTCGTCACGGAGCAGTGCACCAAACGGCAGGTGCGTTTTCTGATAAGTTATTTTTCTGTGAAAAATTCGCTGAACTTTAGAGACATCATTAATATAAATATAATTTTTATGGCTGTTAAATAAGAAAGTTTTTTTCACAAGAAATGTATAAAATTACAGTACTGTATTAGACTTACAGTACCTAATTTATATACTGTACAGACGATAGTAAACTGAACTTACCTGCCTAAACTCTCCGTAGTGTGTAAGTAGTTCAGCTGCTCATCCACTATTGGTCCAGATTCAACCAATCCTGTTGCGACACAAGTCGGCAATGACATTTTACCGCATTTTATGAGTCTCTTTTAGTGTCTTTATACAAATACGGTCACAATTTTTTCATCACAATATATGAACCCGCATTATAGGGGGGGTCGACTGTATTTATAACATGAAGGAAAGTTAAGCTGATAATAGTTAATGTATATGTGATGAATACTTAATGTATTGTATATTTTATTACTTAAACTGGTCAATTTTTTCTAGAGCAAATAACAAATTCTTACATTTTTTTTATTTTTTCTTTTATTAAATTATTAAAGTTACTTATCTCCTAAACTTATGTTCTGGATTTAATAATAATTTATGTAAATATTTTTTGTAGTAAAATTATCAATATTTTTAGGCTAAAGGTACAACAGAAAACAATTTTCTAATTAGGTTTACATTCTTATTCTTAAAAATTTAAGACAGAAAAAAGAAATACTTTTCATAAATTAAATTAATAGGTATTTTTGATCCAAATCTTAAACTATTAGACAATATAAGTATTTACTGGTTTAGATTTTAATAAAAGAATTTTAATAATTTTTACTGGTATATCTTATATATTTCTTTATTTTATAAATATTAAATTATTTATATTTATCTGAAATCATATGCAAAAATTTATTTATTAATTGTCATGCTTATATAAACTACTGAATTATTAAATTTGATTAATAAGCATGGCTGTTTGTTTATTTCTAAGAACAGCTGATTATGATAAAATTTAATTAATTATGTTGATTAAATTAAAAATAATTTTTTTCTTAGATTACTGACTTTTATGCTAACGACATTTTTGGATGATCTAACTGAAAATGAGAAATTAGAAACATACAATCACTTAGGAAATTTAACATCAGCAGTTAATGATTCAACAACAACTTTACTAATAAAAAATGATATAGTTATACCTCAGTTTCATTTACTTAAAATTCCATATATAAAGTAAGTAACATTAGACTTTGTTAAATTTTATAATTACAGGTAGCGCTCGGTTTATGCCGGCTTAATTTACACCAATTCACAATAACACTGCTGTGCAATTTGCATTATTGTGAATCAGTTTACACTGACATCGATTCACAATAATGCTGCTGCACAATTCTCTGTTTTGCCGTGTAATTCCCTGATTTTCCCTATGCTAAACTGATTTTTGTTTCAGTGTTGACGTATTTACTGAGCCGCAACATTGTACATTTTTAAAACAAAGATTTTTATTGAATATATTTATTTTTTCTGTTTAATATTATTGGGTATGTATACATTTACATTAAATTAATATTAAAATAAATAGAGAGGTTGAGGTGCACGTTTTAAACGTGTAAACGTGTACGTGTGACGTTCGGCGCCGCTTTCCCGTAAGCCTAAAAGTTTGACGATGGTGTTTGGAATGTCAAGCGTGATTCCACCGACTATCCAAACACCATTGTCAAACTTTTAGGCTTACGGGAAAGCGGCGCCGAACGTCACACGTACACGTTTACACGTTTAAAACGTGCGCCTCAACCTCTCTAATAAAAATATTAAAATATTAAATGTTTACATACCCACGTATACAAGAATAAAGTAGGTATCATGGTGGAAGACAACAATTGGGAGTGAAGTGCAAATGTAAAAAGGAGCATCATCGCATCCATTTGACCATATTCTGAAATTCTTAACGAAAGAAAACAAAAATCTAAAGAATTAAAGATGGATACTTTTTTCTGAAAAATGTAAGAGATCCAAAACTTTGAAATATCATTTGTTTTTCTTAAGATTTTTTAATAAAAACATTTCACTTTATTTTATTATAAAATACATTTTAAAAATTAAAATTTATAATATATGTATTTTGTATTATATTGTATTAATAAACAAAATTATTTGCTTATTTTTCACTTATGTAAAACCTAACCCTATACTCATTGTAAATATGGGTTCATTTTATACCGATTCGATTTGCGCTGGCTTTTGTAGGAACGGAACTGTGGCATAAACTGAGGGCTACCTGTACAGTACATTGTTTCCTTGCTAGTATTTAAAATATCAATAATCATTTATTAACTGAATAAGCATTTTTGACTATCTAGCTATTTTTATTCTTTTATAAAATAAATATTAATCAACATTTTCAGAATATACTTGATTAATACTTATTTGCATTAATGCTTATTTGCATATGTATATCATGAAAATATTACATATGAAGTACTGTACATTAATTACATTCAATTATTTTATGAATAAATATAGAATATGTTTGTTTTAGTGATTGTAAGAAAAGAGTATTTGTATTGTTTCATTGTAGTTATTATGCATTTCACTAATTTTATTCCAGAATTTAAAGGATATGGCAAATCATCTAATGAATAAATTTTATATGATTTTTCAGATGAAAAATTAGATGATTTCTGACATTTTTTATTTTATTTATTAAAGGTCTTTTAAATTACAAAAGCCTTCCTCACATTACTTTCCATTCCAACTTTCATCAAAATGCAAAATATACCAAGAATCATCATTTATATGCTCTCCAATTCAAAGAAACTACAAAAAGAAGCCAAGTGATCGTAACAAAGTTGGTAAGATAAGAACACAGATATGAAGATTATGAATGATTTGTAACAAGTAAATTAAATTTAACATCAACAAATTATTCATTTGTAGTATTTTTTCAGATTTTAAATGGGTTTGTGAAGATATATGTGAAGTTTTACTGGAAGTTTTTAATCCTTTACCATTTGAATTACAAGTCACACAAATGGTAAAATTGTATATCTGTAATTTAATTCAATTACAAAAGGCATTCAAAAATTAAGTTCCAATTTACTAAAACAGACACAAAGAAAACATTTTGGACATTTTTTTATTATTAAAAGTTTAGACTTGTATTTTCCTATTTACAACATAATCATTTTCAAGATTGAGAAACTTTTCATATTATCACACAGGCTTTTTATTTTTTTATTGAAATCTGTTGCCAGATTCTTAACTAACCTTGTCAATTAGTCTTTTATTCATTTCTGTTGAATTTTCCCACTAAAAATGTCTTCAAGTACAGAAATAGTTGGGAGTTAGAGAGCACAAGATTGCAGCTTAGTGTGAGAAAATATTTTGTATCAAAATTGTTCAGAATTATGCTCACTTGAGCAATGATGTGATTATACATTGTCATGAAAGTCTTGTTTGTTTTGAATAGATTTTTGCAGTTTTTTTTCAAGGTACCATAATATTCATTTGTATTTATTGTTGCTCTAAGATTTCAGGAAATCAACCAACAAAACAACACAATCTTATCTTGCAGCAGGGAGATTTTTAATCTTCTTCCTCATTGTCTGACACAACTATAAATGTCTGATAAATGCAGGAAAACTGCTAATTTTGTCTGATGTTTGTTTTTTATCTTTTGAGAAAACAATATATGCAAATAAAATCCAATTCATCCTACTTTTGTGATTCATATGCATAATTGGAACTTACTTTTTGAACACTCTTCATACTGTAATATAAATGAAGAATAATTAGTAATTTAATTTTATTTATAAGGTTAATGGAAAAGTAGAATTATTATAAGTAGAAAAGTAGAATCATTTGTTAACTGGAAATTTTGATAACTGAATTTGCATAATGTAGGAATAGTGCATTAAATTGATTAATTATACAATAATTATGCATTAAATCGAGTAATTAAAACATTTTTCACTTCTTTTAAGACAAATCACATTCTATAATAATTTGTCAGGAATTTTTGGAAGGATAAGATTTACTCTACTGGAAACAATGCTAAATTGAGAACTGATTGTCATTGATCTTGTTTATACAATATAAAACCTGTATGAGACAATAAGAAAGTTGCAAAAGACTTGTACTAAAATAAATATCATGAATCATAATTTGAACAGCTGATTGAACCATTCTTTTCAGCTATTTTTGTCTGATTATGAAAATAGCTTAAGGTTGTATTTTATAAAATTTCTGCTTGTTAATAAAACTAAATGTTTTTATAAAGAATATTTCATTAATTGAACTCTTATAAACTGACAACTGAACTGTTTGTTAAATGATGATCTGTTGTATATGTATTATATATATATATATACATATATATATTATAAATTNGTGTTATTAATATTTACATAATAAAGCAAAAACTTTTTGTAAAATTTGAAATTATTATTAAGGAATTATTGACTGATTTAATGGACTTTGAGAGTTTTCCGACTCAACTTACACTCGCTCCAAACTCTGGACCTCATCCTGTAACTCTTCTTGGGAGACCTTTAACATGTGGCGAACTTAAAATACTTGGTATTTAGAGTAATTTAATGTAAATTTCAAGTAAAATATAAAAGTTTATTTATTATATGACAAATTCATTACAGGTTATAGAACAGAAATTCAGGGAGTAACTAGCCTCTGCTATATAAAAGATTTAAATAATTTGAAGGAAAGTTATTTTGCAGTTGATGTTATTCCAGTTCTTCCTCATCTGGAAATAACAACAAGTCTTCCAACATCAAACACATACTCTGTTCATAAAGATATTGGACCAGCTGTAACTAGTGGTGTAACAAATTTATATTGTGGAGAAAGGTAATTTTTCATATTATTGTGTAAATATGAAAGAAAAAATAATTAATTGTCTTCCATGTAAAGTATATTTTTTTTCATTCAACTGCAAAGCTTTGTTACTCATAGATGCTAGAATTAATGGATGATAATATAAAACAGTATTTTGAAACAAATATGGAAAATAATTTTTTTCTGTTAATAATTGTTGGTAGATTTGGTAGATTGAAATTTCTTAAATATGATTTAAATTTTTATATGATATAAATATACAATATTTTTTATCTGATACAGATATATATTGATAGTGATTTAATGTATAAATAATTGTCCCATTATCAATAGGTTAATAATAACTTGGAACCTGAACTTTTCTAATTTTCTTCCAGAAAGTTTGACTAATAATGTGTTTCAGTTATTTATAATGATTTATTATAGGTATATTTTAGAAATTGCAACATTAAAACAATCAATAATTGAAATTAGAAGAAATTTAGAAATGACAGTGATTTTGGAAGTAAAAAATTTAAGTAGTTGTGATTTTATAATTAAATAATAAAATATTTAAAATGAATTTAATAAATTTGAATAATTAATTCTATACAGTATACTATATATGGAACTACACTTTCATCTTTATTCATTTTGTTATTTTCTATATGACATTGAGAATATCTAGTCTTTGATATTTATTGTGTCAAAGTATTGATAAGTGTGGTTTGTATATATAGTGTATATAATGATATAGTTTGTAAGTTAACAGCTTAAAATTTTAATATTTTGAAATTTCAGTTAACTGATTTTATTTCTAACAAGAAATCATCTTAGTTCAATGAATAAAGTAAAAAATATCAATGAAAACTATTTTGATGGAAAGCAAATGAGAAATTGTGTAAATTTTAGCACTGTTATAAAACTTTACCTGTTTCATATTCATGTAGAATAGCAGTTCTCAATTGATATGCTGCAGCTCATTAGTGTGTTGTGAACTTCTGACAAGAGTTTCACAAAATTTCAAAATAATTAAAAAATGCTAATTGTTTCTCTACTTTTTATGTGTATTTTTTGTATAAAATATTCAGCTATTTCATTTTTTATATCTGTAACATTGTTGGCATTCACCAATAATGTTTCAGATTGAGAATTTTGTAATCTGAGATTTTGAGCTGATAACTCTAGATTAAGAGTCTTTACTTTTTGTATTCACCAATCCAATTTATCATCGAGTTACAAAATCCTCAAATCAAAGTGAAGCTCTTTAATTTGTTGAAATGTGTCATGTTGTTTTTGTGTGAATTGTCATGCACAAACTATGCACATGATTTTAAAGTTTAGTAGAAAATGGATTTTAATAATAAAAGACACCACACTGACTTTAAGGCAAAACTATTATTAGAATTATTTGCAAAATATAAAAATGTATTAGAAAATAAAAAAATAAATGTGATATTAAACTTAGAGATAGAATATAACAATCACTTGAAAATTATAACATCACAAATATAAGCAATTCTTATTTTGTTATAAAAACTTAGAAACAAAAACAAATAAAGATCAAATTAAAAAGAAAGAATAGAGACTTTTTTAAACTGGAGTTCCAGTAATGATTAATTATTACAATATATCTGTTTTCATTCAACTTCTTGCAAGAGCTTAAAATCTTAATAAAATATTCTTTGTAAAACATTGCAAGTAGCAGTAATTTACAAAGAATTCAATTAGCATTAGTCTGTAATTTGAGAATTATCTCACTGATAGTGATTAGTTAAATTATGCTTCAGATTTGAATTAAGTGTAGAATTTATGCATGGTGAATGTTGGTTTGTTATTTTCAAATTATTCATTTTTTTATACAGTTGAACCTGTTCATCTCAAACTTCTTTATCTCAAAATTTATTTTTTCCTTGCATTTTCAGACTAAATTCAATGTATCTTCTATGTTTATCTCAAATAATTTTTTTCACAAAACCTCTATGTCTGAAATTATGGATTTAAGTGTTAAATTCAGAGCTCAGCAACTACATTTTGATAGCATAGATTGTAGTTGAGAAAAATCTCTTATAATACAGTGCATAGTTGCAATTAACACTGCTTTTCTCTGGCTATGAGTTTGGCTTGCTTCTTATTAGTTGAAGAAAATCAGGCATCATAAACTGTTGACAAAATATCTGTCAAAAATTATTTATTTATACTTAATATAGATATGTTCTGTACTTGTTACTGTATTAAAATACATCGCCTCCTACCAAACCTATTACTGTCTACTGTGTAGGAACCTCTATATATTGAAATTTTTTCTTGTTCCTGTGAGATTGAAGATAGATAAGTTCAACTGTATTTGATTTTTTTCTTAATGTTAAACTATTTTTATTTTTTTTCTTATAATAAAAAGGTGAAGAACCATGGGTTATTTTAAAATTAGAGTTTCCAGAATAGCTTAAAAAGCATTGATTACACTATTGTTTGTAACAATGATTTTATTGATGTATGAAAGACTAAAAAAGTTTTTTCTTTTTAGTTTGCCTTCAAATTTAATTTTAGTAAATGTTTAAGATTTCCTATGATAATTAATTTGGATAATGAAAAGGCAGTGATTATCAATTCTTATATTTATATTGGAAACCTTACATGCCCGAAATGAAATTATTAGTAACATTAGAATATCAAATACTCTAAGTATGTTTATACCATGTGTGTTTACTTCTAAAATTTAGTACATCAGTTATTTTTGAAATGCTTATTTATAATTTAAAGTAAAAAGTAACATTTGAAATGTTTTTTTTTAGTCAAGAATGTTCAGTAACCCTATTTAATGATGGAAGAGGAGAAGTTGAATTTGTTGATATTGAAATATTGAAAGGTAAAATATTTTTATATATTATACATGATTTATATATTCATTTTTATGTAATAAAAGTAAGATTCTTTTTTAATATTGTTTAGCTGAATAGTTTGAAAAATTGATTAGATTTAAGAACCTGCCAAGAATTCTAAATTATCTAATTAAATACAAAATGTAATTTATTAAATACTTCAGAATTTTATGCAATATTATTTGTATTTTATCTATCTTGTAAAATTTCATAAATATTGCAAGATTTAAACTTTGTCAGCTTTAACAAAAGAAACCAAACTGATACAAGAGCAACAGAGCTTTTAAAATAACAATATTTCATTAGAAGATAGATGGTAGTATTGAATTTTCTACAGTTATTAATTACAGAAATTATAATTAATAAATTTTTAAAAAATGTAAAATTTATAAAAAGTTGATCTCCTTAATCCGTTTGATTAAGGAGACGACCTAGCAGAATAAAATCCCTTAATTGAAGCTTTAATAATTTACAATTCAAGAATTCTAAGATATCTAACTTTTCTGTTTATGATAGACAAGGACAATTAAAGCACACATTGTTCACTTTATTGCAATAATCTTTTATATACATATATACATTTATATATATATATATNCTTACTAAGTTACAAAAAATTTTACAAACGTAAAAACTACTTATAAAATCATTAAAGTGATCTTTGTAAACAGTTCAAAAGTTTGTAAAAGTATTCATGAATTTAATTATGATAAATTATTGAATTCATGAATACTTTTTTTTTATTAATTTATTTGCTTAAATCATGTCATTTATTAAAACCAGATTTTAATACAATTCCAATTATCATTATCTGATTATGAAAACTAGTAACTAAGATGGAAAATATTGAAATAAGTTTCAAGACTTAAGAAAATCAACTCCTGAAACTTAGGATAACCGAAATTAAAAGTCAAATAATGTAAATAACCAAATGTAATTGTAAAATTTTCAAGCTTTTCACAATACCTTTTATAGTTTTGATTCATGTCACATTCTCCTTATATAATTTTGCAAACAGTGCAAATGACTTAAAGTTTTATATGCTAGTCTTTGGTTTAATTTATACTGTATGAAAAATTATTAATTTGTGATTCATATTTTCTTTTGACAATCTGTTTATCATAAATTTACAGTTAAGTTTTGATATAATTTTATTTAAAAGCATTTGAAAAGCATTTAGAAAATCATCCATGGTTTGCTTAATGACTAATCTTTTACAATATAAATTCTTTCACAGAATTCACAGTATAAAAAGTTGGATTATTTGCATCAATATGATGGTTTTTTAAGATAAAATCTACAGATAAAATATCATTTCATACAAAGTAAATGATATTGAATTGTCAAATAAACTCTTTAATAATGCTATTAAGGAGTTTATTTGACAATTAACAAGTGTTTCATCATAAATATTATAAATAAACTGGTGACAGTTTGAGTATTGTAATTTATATTTTTCTGTGGAATAAATAATTTGCAAATTTAAGTTTGAATATAAGGGATTTATTTTTTAAGGTGAATCCTGGGTTGCATACCAGAAAGAAATTGTTAGTGTGCCAAAGTTAGCCACCCCTGACCTAGTCTTAAAGTTATTGTTCAAAAATAACTTTCATACTAGGCCAGTAACAGTGGATCATATGATACGTATGGTGTCACTAGTCACTATAGCAAAATAACAATGTATACAATGTAGTGACAAGTTGCTTAGCTACTGTAGGAAATCACCTTTTGCATTCAGATATGTGTTCTAATATGGTACAGTTTGTATATATCCTCCACTTATTTCCATTTCAGATGGGAAGTTATGTAGCATTACCTTACAGTCTCAATATGTTGACTTGTGACTTCCATGTCTTTATACCTTTAAAGTTTCTCAAAGGTTGCAGATTTCAGTCTGACAGCAAAATTTGAACACATATAACTGAATGTTTCATTCAGCAGCTTCCTCTTCCCATGCAGAGGATATACATGAACTTGTATCACATTGAGACACTTGACTAAATGCAAAACCTGATATGATATAGCAGCTACAGCAACTTTGTTTCTAAATTGTAGTACTGTAATTCTGCTCAAGTGACAACTGATACCATAAAACTTATATGTCCTGTCTATATTTTCTTTGAACAATCATTATATATGTTAAAGTTAAATAAAATGCATGTCATTCAAATTTTAAATAAAAAAATGAAATAACTATTAAATGAATTAAAATTGAAATTTCCAAATAATTTTATTTAAAAAAGAATAATTTACAGGTAATAAAGTAGTAGTTTTGGAGTGGAATATGAAAGAATTGAACAGTCAAATTCCAATTGTTGCTGGTGGTGCAGCTACTTTTAAAGTAAATATTCTTACTACAGGTGATAATTTTGGTCTAAGGGAAAATAATCCTTTATCAGGTAACAAATAATTTTATATATGAATAGAAGTATTAAATTCTATATAATTGTATATTCTATTAAATTAAATTCTATATAATTCTATAGTTTTAAATTCATATTTAAAATATTAAATATGTACTGTACTTTAGATTCACTTTCATTATATTCATTAATGAATAAAGTTAATAGTTATTCATCACATACATATGCAGTGTAATATATGTGAGGTTCCAGAATGGGTTGAAACAAAAATTTAATTTCAAATTAATTAGGAGCGAAAACGCTATTGTCAAGTCGGACCAAACATTATGTTAGTTATGTAAGGGAGAGGAGAGAAAAAAAACTGTAACTGTCAAACAAACGTGACATGAAAACAAATAATGTAATGGATCAGATGGAATGTCGATCAAGAAAAAACAGATAGAACTCTGACTCAGGTGTTCATAAACAGTCGATCTAGGAAAACAATTTCAGAAAAGGGGAAAGATTTGAGGGATAGAAAAACATCACATATGATTGTTAAAGTTCCAAGATGACAGAAATCACAAACAACAGGCTAAATTTTGAGCACAAGGCTTATGGTTCTATCAACAATCTCCAAGCATAGTCGACAAAAAGGTGTCGAATAGACGCCTCAAATGGGACTTTTCTGGTGACCTGATCAGGACTCAGTTTTCACCTGGAAACAAAGGAGACCAATCAGGAAGTGAGGAATGGGACATGGGGTCTATCAGAAATACAGATAACGGAAAAAAAACTATAAAAATCAGTAATTTAAGGTCGAAGAAGGTCTTTCTCTGGATTAAGCCCAAAGTCATGCTCATTAAGTTGTGTTGTGTTGCCATTGACCACATAGAATGCTGTCACATCTTTGCCAATCATTCATACCCATCCAACAAACCCTTCTCATCTGCCCTGGGGCTACGATCGATAGACCGAAACTCTGTCCACTCTGAAGGAACACCAAGATTTAGGAACTGTCTAACATTGGTGTAAACATACATAGTACAAAATAAATGGCTTTTTAACTTTGTAAGACACTTGTCATCATTTGTCTCCTCTGCCACAACTCACATATGATTCCCCTTTAGGTTTATTCTGACATGGGATTAATTGATTCACCCCCTAAAAGTTGGCCAGCTTACATATATTATTGAAACCCTTTAGTCTGATATTTAGCATGGGTTTAGCATCTTTCATGATGAAGCATATTTTATATCTTCTGTCATTATTTGCAAATCCAGATTGCAACGCTAGCAGCATTAATGTGCTAGAGTCACATCTGCAACTGAGAATTTTACTTACCTTATGGCCAAACAATTGTCAGATTAGATCAGGCTATATAACTACTGCTATTAATAATTAAATAATAAGTAATTTGTCCTAGAGGTACGTGTTAGGTGCCATTACTTATTAAATTTAATTATTATAATTAAATTAATATTTATTAATTAATTTAGAAGGTTCTGGAAGAAATGAATTGGCTCAGAGTGAGACCCAAACCCACAATTGCCGCTTACTGTGTAGAAGCTTTGCCAGTTATGCTGCCCAGACTGCCATCTGATCTTTGTTTTAGAATTGTTAATTTAGATATAACCATACTGATTATTAACAGTTACGACTGGGGATGACTTAGCACCCACAGCTTACATTTGGATGGAAGTTTGGATAGTGTAACTGACAACATATTCACAGGGTAAGCAGCATTGCTGGTTTGAGTCCCACTCCAGGCTTCTAAATTAATTAATAAATATTAATTTAATTATAATTATTAAATTTAATAAGAGATGGTGACTATTGCTTACTTCTAGACCTAATTATTTAGCATTTAATTATTAATAGTAGCAGTAATATAGCCCAATCTAATCTGGCAATTGTTTGGCTTACAGATGTTTATATTTGTATATTTTAGCTAGCATTTGAAAAAAAATTGTTATTTGTTTTACTTGGCTTTAAAGTAGTAGTCTTTTTGTATGTTTTATATTAGAATATTTGCATCATTTTAGAAATATAGAGTGGCCTAAAAGCCAGTTAACTGCAATTGTATTTTTAAGATTATTTTCAGAACTGTTATTGGAACAACTGTTATTATTGAAGATTTATTTGTTTCCACTGAAGTGAGATAATATGTAACTATTCCAAACTGGTTTTAAATATTTTAAAAATAGTCTAAAATTTATTATAGTTAACTTACTTTTGATCTAGTCTGTGTAAACCTGATCTATTAGTTAAATATATCTTTTGGTTCACATTCCAATATAGTTTGAAGATATTTAAGTCTGTCTGATATTTCATATTTTATAAATTGTGCTTTTCTAGCAATTTTGATTATATTTTATAATGATTAAGTAATGAATGAAATTATCTAAGTGAAACACAGAAATTTGTTTCATTATGCTGATGGAAAATGTCTGACTGCTTCTCTGTTCTTACATATTTGCTTTCCTGACTGTTATGGATATAACATGGGAAAGTATTGTAATTGTGTCATATTTGAACCCCTGGGTTTTTTGAAAATTCAATATTTTGAGATCTCTTGAACACAAAAAAATGGGGGCAATTCTGTGTATGTGTGTGTTGGTGTTTAGTTTTTTAATATCTCAGATAGGAGTGAAGATTAAGAAATGAAATTTAGCATGATAACTCATATATAAGAAGCATTGATGCTATTAAATTTTGGTGGTTAATGGTCGAGGGGATGGGAAGATAGAGGGGATCATGTGTCATATCTTGAGTGGGATCAGACTTAATGAAAATTTTACTCATTGGCATTTATAATTTTGAAAAATTCATTTCTATTCTCAAAGTTAAGCCTTTTTGCCTTTTATAATAATTAATATTATTAAAGTTATTTTGTAATAACATCTCATAACAGATGGCAGCATGCAGTTTTATTTTAAATAATTATTAGCCAAAATAAATAAAAATATGCATCTAGTAGACTTTGTTCTAGCAAATTCTTCTAAAAACATGGGTGGTGAGTTACATAACTTTTGGCAAATGGAGTCCGAAGAAAGTGCTTGTTGCAAACTTTTCCCAGTGAAGCTGGGAAATTTATGCAACTTTCTGCTGGGTTTTTGTGATCTAGTAATTAACAGATACCAAGGATGTGAAATCAAAGGGTTTCAATCTTTAATTTTCATACTGTGAATTATATTTAAATTTGTCAATTCATATACAATAGAAGTTTGTTAATTCATCACCCTATAATTCAGAATTGTCCAATAATAACCCCATATGCTAATAATCCACACACGTGGCTTTTTATGAAAATGATGTGTATATTTTGTTTGAAAAATAAATATTATATGCACACAAATCATTGTAAATGAGATTTATGGAATAACACGTTTGTCAACATTTTTTCTTTTTTCAGGTTTTTTTAATCCTAAAATTCTTAACATAATATAGTCATGCACTGTATTATCTTTCAACTGATTAAAGAGTGTTCATAAATAAATAGAAAACATAAAACAGTGTGCACTGGTATAAAATATACTGCAATATTTTTAACATTCAGACTGCAGATATATAATTTATCAAATTTTATGAAAATACAAAATGTTTGGTAAACTGGAATTTTTGATAATTTGGCACCACTCTGGTCCCTTATGTGCCAGATTAATGAGCTTCTATTGTCTATATACTGTATTAATAAAAACATTCTATAAATTATTACATAATCAAAATTTTCAAATAATAAATACAGTGGATTCTGGTTAATTGGAATATTATGCAACTGACCAATTATGTGAAATTTATGTAGAGTTAAAAAATTATAAAATAACTAAAACATTGTAAAATATCAAATTCAAATAACAATTTAAAAAAATTATTTTAATTGTCATTCTTTGCTGTTCTGTAGGAATTATCAAATTGTGGTAAGTCCTCATTAAATGTTGTCAGTAGGTTCTTCAAAACTGTAACTTTCACTGAAAAAGCATGTAAAAAATATCAATTTTACTATGGATTAATGATATAAACAAGAGTTAAGTTCCTAGGGCATATTTCTGATCTCAAAATCCATCACCAAACTTCCAAATACAAACTCAAAATATTTTTAATATTGAACTTTAAAATAAATGAGGCCAATATACAGTATATATTTATTAAAGATAAATAAAAACAATTAAGATATAATAATAGTTATTTACCCTAGTTTTGGAGGATCACTGAGTGATGGCAGTCCTGTAGTGAGAAAGGCTTAATCCTCATTACAGGTGATGAGTAAAGATGACCAATAAAGAATTCGAATTTAATTAAAAGAGCACCTCGTACCACCATTAGGCAGTTCAAAAACAAGTAATTGATGTTTCCAAGAAACTAAATACAATGCTGTATAAATTTCAAATGGCAAATGCAAATAGGGCATTTGTTTACTCTGATATTAATAACATATAAGACACCATTTAATGTGGATAAAGATTCATGTTGTTTGAAAAAGATGAAAGTATAATAAATGCAAATTATATTAGTCAGATTATAAGAAAATAATTTGGTTAATATTATTTTTATTAGATTGTGTTTACCATCTCCAGCATTTAATTCTCACTTCATAGAATCAGTTTTACTGTTTATAAAGAAAATTCAACAATGATAATTGTAAATGAATATGAAAATATTTGTATTTTTCCTCATCAACATTAAGTGAGGCCTTACTGTATATTCTTTAAAAAAGATAAAAAGAAAAAATAAGCATTATAATTATAATTAAATTTTAATTTTNATCTATAATGCTGGATTGTATTTGTTTGAAAAATTATAGATATTTTTTCATTTATTTAAGACTGAGTTTGATGCCATATCATCCAAAATATTTATTATGACACAGTCAAATATGTATCACACATTTTTTTTTTAATTCACTTTTATATATAACAAATATGAAAATATTTTGTAGTGAGTGATATTTATTGAGATGATTAAAATTTGTAACATTAAGACATATTTTTGTTCTTAGATTTTAATTAATAAAACATAAAAAGTATATTTTTCTTTAAAGAAATTATAATTGTATGTTTTAATTTTTGTGTGTTAAAATTTTTTATAATTTTATATTTATAATATAAAGTATAAGTTCACAAAATGGTAATAATCAAAATAAAAGAGTAAGCAATTTATTTTGCAAATTTTGATTTCTTGATTGCCTAGTATTGTCATATTTAATTACTGAATTGATTTAGTTTTGACAACACTGTATTTTATTTTGACCGTCACTTTAAAATTTTCATAAAAATCTACATGTAACATTTAGACCAGGGGTGTCCAACCTTCTTGTTCCTCTGGGCCACATTGGAAGAAGTCATGGAGTTTGGGGCCACAAGTATATATATTATATTTGTAACCCAATCCTTAAATATACAAGTATATTTAAGGATTAACATGTCTAGATTATAGTAATAAGTATTATAACTTTATCACAAAAAAGGATATTTTAAAAAATTACTTCTACAGACCCTTCCAATTTTTACTTAGAAATAGATAAATTCATTTATTATAAAAGAGACAAACAAAAATTTATTTAAAAACACAAATATTTGTTTCATTTGGGTCTCTAATTAATAAAAAATGACGAAACACCATTTTAAAGCTCATTTTTATTCCACTAATATGTTTATAAATAATATGTAGCCCAGAAAGTAGCCAATGCGCAAAATGATAATTTTTACGCCAAACTAAAAAAAGGGTAGCCAAATTTGATGCAAAGTAGTCAAATCTTGCAATGCTGGAAAGAATACTAAATAATGCTGGAATTGGAACTCTAAGGATTATAGACTCAAATTTGAGAAAAGGAGAGAAAGGCCAAAAGATAAAAAGTAATGAGAAAGATTGGATAATTAAGGGTCAATATTTGCATTACAGAAGGTCTATTTAACCTTTCTCACAACTTTTTATCTTTTGGCCTTTTTCTTCTTTTCTCAAATTTGGGTCTATAATCCTTTGAGTCACAACTTCAGCTTTATTTAATATTCCTTTGTCATCCACAGATCTTCAAGTATTTGAAAATATTTTCTTTTCACTCAAAAATAAAATATGTATAAAAGTTTACGGCTTTGTGAAACTTCTTTTTTTAGTTTATGCCATTGAAATAAAAAAATAAAAAAAATAAAACAATTTGTCGGTTTTGTTTACACGTTTATTGGGCCGCATTGAAACTTGCCTTGGGCCACGGGTTGGACACCCCTGATTTAGACCATCAGATGGCTAGATGGCTAAGCAGTCAAGGTGGCAGCTTATTGCTCTGGGGAACCCAGAATCAAATCCATACAGGTCAAAAAAGCTCCAGAAATTTTTCAAGTGATGGTCCATCTGGGTATGTCGGGCCCTATCCCTTATCACATGACTGCCCCGTTGTGGACCTGGCCAAACCAATAATGGGCTAGCTAAAAGAGGCCTTCTTAGTGCTCACAGGGCAGGAAGAATTTTTTAAAAAACTTAGACTAGCAATGGCAAACACATGATCTGCAAGTGACTGCACTCATTACACAATTCACACAGTGACCTGTGCAACGATTTTGAGGTACCTGTATTGAACATTTAGAAGGTATTAGGTTTTTATAAATTATTATATTAAAAAATTATTTTTAAATATGTAATGTGAAACAAGAGGGTGTGCAGAAAATTTTCAAGCAGAGTAAAACTTTGAGACATAATTACATCAATAAATTTTTATATAATTACTTAATTTTTGGTAGATTATAGAATACAGTATTGAATCAAAGCATCCCATAGTCGAGGATGTAAGGTTACATATCTCAGTCACTTTTATGATTATAATTTGTGGAATATTTTACTTCATTCCAGAGCAAATGCCCAGTTTGTTGCTCTGCAGACATCCTTGTCATGAAAGCAGGATCCTAAACCTGTTGCAAAACATCATACAAATCATTAAGTATGAACCTCAGAAAGATTGTCATCAAATAAACAACAGTAGATTTTTCATTAAACAGAATATTTTTTCCGTTATAAGCACATTATTTTCTTTTCATTTACATAGAATTTATTGTTTTTTTCAAATATGAATTACAAATTTTGCTTTATTTAATTTTTTAAACATTTCTTTTTATTTTTTAATTACTGGAATTAAATAGTTGACCTGTGATTTAGAGTAACTAAATTTCAAGGGCCCATCAGTGGTCAAGCAGTTCTGTTCCCTGAACAGAACTGCTTGACCACTGATGGATTCGTACCTCATCAGGATGGGCTGGCCACGAGTTTTCCAGGTTTTCTCCACATCTGTAATGCTTGAATAGGGGCCAGTTACCTCCCAGAAGGCATTCCCCTTGGCAGAGTGCCGAAACATTGCCATGTTGCATTGCCATAACTTAATAAAATAAACTAAATTTCAAATTCAATTTAGATCCTGTCTTTGGAAAAAGTTTGCCATTGCTGACTTTAGACATATGATTGTAAATATAATTTAATCTTCAAATAGGTTCAATGCTTAAACTTTACTGACAACTTAAAAGAACAAAATATCACTTTTGTTTTTTAAATTTCAGTAAAAGTTTATGTAGAAGATAAAAACAAAAATATTATTTTTTTATGATTAAAAAAGCCTGTGCTAATTTAAAGTTCTTTCATCAAATTCATAAAATATGTTTAAAGTTACCAGAAAATTGAATATAAAGTTTAATTTTTCTTTCTTTCATTAGGTACAAATTGTTCCTCTTACAATGAAATTTCCAATGGTTATTACAGAGATAAATGTGCTTTTATTCCAAAGAAGAGTTCCAGTTATGCTGACTTAACAAATCCTATGGTAAAAAATTGTCATTTTTTAATTTAATTTTTCAATTAAATAATTTATGATTATTTAGAATATTAAATTAAAGAAATGCATTCAATAGTATTATAATATTAGGATAAATAGTTAAATTCTTTTACAGATTGTAGAAACATATGTACAATTTAAATATAGTGGAAGTGCTGGGAAGACAGAGGGATATTGTCGTCAGTCTATTATTGTTGTTATTGTAGAGTTATTACCATCACTTCTTATTACAAATTGGGATGTTATGACATCTGAATTGTAAGTTTTGTTGTTATCTAATTCAGTGTAATCTAACTTGTTACATTACAGTCTTAAAAGCAAGCTAGTTAATTTAATACAGTAAAAGCTTCTAGCTACTAAGTAATATTTGATATATTGATACTTATTCATGAAATTAATAAATAATAATACAATATCAAACATAAAAATGCAATATGATTTTATGGCATTTGTATTATACTGATTTAATTAATAAAGTAAATTTTCTTTTATTTTATTTTAACATTGAAATAGTTAGCTAAAATCAGGATTTTTTCTATTTTGTAGACCTTCTCTTTGTTATTTATCACTTGATGTTTTTAATGCTACAAATCAGGAAATGGAATTGGAATATGGTGATAAAAAATGGATACAANATTATTTTTTTATGATTAAAAATAATGTGTGCGCACACACAAACACTGTATTTTCTCAATTAAACAACCTGGGATTCAAATAAACTTTAGTTTTTGAATAAGTTCCAGGAAATGAAGATGCTGTTAAAAATAAACTTCATGCTGAAAGGCATGGGAAACAAAGAAAAGGCCAATAGGCTTATATGATTATGTGATATTATTTAATAGATTAACAGACTAAAAGTTTATTATTTAGGATAATGTAGTTTAGAATGACAGGTTTTTTTTGTTTGCTTTTCCACCATGTGATCAAAAGGGCCTTTTTTTTTAAGCCCATTCAAATTTGGCCAGGTAGTGAGAAATGGAGCCCAACATATTTGGGACAGACAACTCTTGAAAAATTTCTGAGACTTTTTTCAATTCTCTGGATTTGATCCTGGGTCCTCAGAGTAATAGGTTGATGTCTTAACTGCCTTGACCATCTGGCCAAGATAATGAATTTGAATCAGAAGATGATAGTTGAGTCCTGATTCCAACAACAAAATTGAAATAGATATGAATGACATTATAAACAACCAAATCAGAAGATGCTAATTTTTACTGACTTGTATTTTGTTGCAAGGTAATAAACCTTATAGTAAAAATATAATTGAAAAACATATTATCTGATCAGCCTTTTTTTCAGCTTCTTTACATTTATGTTTTACCTAACCTAATTAAAGCATATTCACTTCATTTCTTTTAAACATTGTTGTTCCAAGTCTAAAAGTTCAGCATACACAAACATTTTTAAAGATAATTATGCTCACTATTTGGTATGTGGACTCAAAAAGGTTCACCATCCCAACCATAGGGGATATGTACATTTTAATATTTATACTTAAATATATTGTACATTTAAATATAAAATATAATGTATATAAATATATACATTTAAATATTAAATCTACATAATAAAATTTTTTTTTAAATTAACTATAACTATTATACAACTATACATTTGTTTTATGTTTAAAAATGCATGAAACTTCTGCTTTAACATTTTTGTAGTAGAAAATCTTTTGTTTTTAATACCAAACTTAATAGAACATGTATCTCTCAATATGTTTTCAGCTGATGTTTATATTTGTCCCAAAATTTCAGTACAACAACTTTAACAAAATAGCAAAACATGCAGGAAAAATCCAAATAAAATTGGTTAGAATATTATCACATTTAGATATTTTGAAATAGGCTCAGTGTGTCAATAAATGAAATATGCATCTTAAATATAGTTAACACTAAGAGGCATCGCAGCATATATCAACAGCTCCTAAAGCAAAAGTTTGTGATGTCAGTAACAGTAGTTATCAATTTTCCAATTCATGGATGTGTTAGATATTTTAAGATTTTTTGATGATTATGTGTTATGATTTATTTCTTTATTTTTTTATAATTTTTTGTCTTCATTTTTAAAATGAATCTTTTTTAGTGTTGTGTGTTATTTGATGAGGCATATTGTAAGCATAATGTTTTCAGTATGGCAAGCAGATTGTACACATTGCTGTATACAAAGCAACTGTTTGTAAACAAGTATATTAAAACTATTTGGTGATCAGAAAGTAATATATTAAACATTTTATATCTTAATATAATAGTTTATAACTTATATATACATGTTGTGTTGTGTTTTAGAAGTGTTTTTAGCAATTAGTTCAGAGTTTTGGGTTTGTACAATACATTGTCACTAACTGTCATGGACATAGAGATTCAGACCATTTTATACTTGACTGATATAGTTTAATAAATTTGATTGTCTAGTTACAGACTGTACATACAGAATGATATTAACAATACTCACAAAACATGTTCAAGCATCACCCAACAGCAAAATGGCTGATCTCAAAGACAAACTTTGTGCCTTCCAGTTTTGTTTGCAGAACAGTCCCAAACAGTAGTTACAAAAATAAGAAAAATAAAAAATTAATTTTACTGAAATTGACATTCTCCCAATGTTGATTTTGGGAGAGTAATAAAATCAAACATTTGTGGAAACAATAAACAAAGTTTATAAATTTAATTTCTGTGGAATTCTCAAGGGTCGGCCAGTCCAAAACCTTTTTCCTGATGATTCCATAGGATTGAATCACTCTTATATGAGACTTCCAATGGATAAAGCTTCAAGAGTGGACAGATGAGGACTCCACCTTTAGTTCTAAGTTAGGTTACTCATGCCTGACCGTTCCTTCTTGTAAGTCAAGTTTTACAAGTCACGCTCTGATAGCACATGCTAGCAGCTCTATTTGGGGAATTGTAATTCTTTTCAATGGAGCAAGCCAAGATTTGCTCCCAGAAACCACACAGTGACTCTATCCACTTCCTCACAACACAGATACACTGTAGTGGCATAGGCCTTTTGGCTGGCATCAAAAATACATGACTAGACCAACTTCTTTGGTCCCCATAACCCACATGATGAGAAATCCTGAGGTTATTGAGCTTGTCCAGCTTGTTATACCACCTTTTAAAACTATCTTGAATCTCTTCAGGTAAAGGTTCATCTCAACCAGACATTGTTACCCAAGCTTGCTCTATCATTAGTTTGGTGGGCAACATGATGGGCACTAACACCCAGTGGGATCAAATATACCTTGAATTATGGATAAAAGTCCCTTCTTGGTAGTGCTTTCCTTTCTCCACTGTACTGTAAGATCAAACATCAGGCCATTTTCCTCTCGGTCCCACAGGAGACCTAATACTGGTACTATTGTGGGGAACTCCCCCTTCCTTAAAGCTTGTTCATGAAATATTGTTCTGCTTCATATCCACTGGGTTGAATTCCCACTATCTCAACTCCATTTTAGCTTCAGCAAATATCTCTGTTGCTTTCACAATGAAGGATTTTAGGGCTGCTTCACTTTCCACCGATGAGACACAATTGTCAATTTAAAAGGATTTGGAAAGTTTAGTTGCTATTGTTCTTCTTTTCTGAGACGTTAGCCAGTTGGAACAGTATAACTGCTCCTAACAAGAACAGACTGCTTGTGACTCCAAATACTACCCTTTTGTGGCAAAGTAATTTGATTTTTTGATTATTCTCCCACCATAGACATTTCAGATACCGTGTTTCCCCGAAAATAAGACATCCGCAGAAAATAAGACCTAGCACAGATTTTGCTGAATTGCGAAATATAAGACCTCCCCCTGAAAGTAAGACCTAGCGAAGTTTTTTTTTAGTCGTAACGGTCATCGACAGATGGTTGAAAGTACAGCCACTGATTGGTCAGCAGACAATTACGCCACACGGCATGATTTGCATAAGACTATGGCTTGGGAATCACAGATTTGCATAATGTTATCGCTGGTGATCACTAATTGGTCGGCTGGGAATCACGCCACATCACATTTGCATAGTGCTACGGTTCAGTAAGCACTAATTGGTCATCGAGCTCGATGTGGACACTATAAAAAGGTTAAGTTGAATGTGTCGCAAGGTGTTCTCTCGAACCTGTTTAGCGTATTGTTCAACAATAAATGTGAATTCGTCTTCATGGAAATATAAGACATCCCCCTGAAAATAAGACCTAGTGCATTTTTTAGAGCAAAAATTAATATAAGACACTGTCTTATTTTCGGGGAAACACGGTAGTCCCGGTCTTTGTTTTTCTCAATTTGCAGAAAGGTTTGTCTTATGTCAGCTGTCACTCCTAATTGCTTCTCCCTAAATCTCAATAGACTTGCTGGTATTTGTTTGATAAGGTTTGGGGGTTTCACTAAACAGTCATTTAGGGAAGGAATTCTGTTATTCCTACAAGATGCATCAAAAACTGGTCTTACTGGAGTTGTGCAACTATTGTGCTTAATTACAGAATGGTGTGGGAGATAATGACATTTGGCACACAACTCCTCTTTGGGCACTGCCTCAATAATCCCTTCTCCCTAATCATTCACAAAACACTTTATCATACTCCTGAAATTTATTCATACACTTGAGTTGTTTTGTAATATTAAGAAGTCTTTTTTTTCAGCCATGTGGCTGTTGGTTGGAATATCCTATTTACCATCTATCCATGGAAGACCAAAACAGTAGCGATCATTCTCCCTTCTAAATGAATTCCGGAAGTGTTTTCTTGCAACCTCTTCTTCAGTAGCCTTTATTAAACTCTCTCCAGGATCTATGACCCCTATTGTTTCAAGCTTCCAAAGTTCAGGGACTTGTAACTCCCTCAATGCCAAATTGGTGAGTAAAGTTGAGGTATTCTCACAGTCACTCATCACATTTTTCATCAGACCCCAAACTGCTGATCCCAATTTGGTTTCAATTGCCATAAACCCTCCTTTTGATTGTATTTTTTTCCATTCAACAGTTTCCCATAAATGTCACTGCCAATCAGAAGATCAACTGTGGAGCTTCCTGGTCCTATGTCTGTTAACTGTTAAGATATTCTGTAGGAAATACAGAATATGGTTATATTCTGTATTTCTTAAGCATCTTTAATATCTTATATTTTGGTAGACAGGGTATTTTTCCACATATGACATCTTGATCAAGAAATTCAAATTCCCATATAGTTTTCTTCCTTTGCATGCATGCAATTTTAAAGGATATTTTTTATGGAGCCTTGGTTTGATTAAGAGCCTCTAAACAGTGAATAGGCTATATCTTCAGATGATGTTGATTGTATATCCAATTCGGTTACTAATGACTTCTGCACGTAGGATCTTTGAGAATCATAGTCCAGAAGTGCTTTCATATGTCTTGACCTTTTGTCTTCTATACCTTCTACTTTCAGTGTCATCAATACTATTTCCTTGGAACACTCATATTGGATGATAGTGTTTTGTACCAGTTCAGATACTCTGGTCCCCTTTTCGATATTATTGTGAAGAGTTAGTTCTGGACAGAAGAAAACAAGATGTCTGTTATCACATACATAATAGTGGACCAAGATTTTGCAGCATTTCATGATATGGCCAGGTTTGAGGCATTTTAGGTAACATCTCTTTCGTATCTTGTCCCCTTTTCCTTAACAACAAGGATCGTGCAGCCAAACAATCATAACATACATACATAACATACAAATATCACCTTATCCTTGCCAAACAATCTTTACTGTCATGCACC